CGACCAACTCTGCAAAAAGGCGTCTTCAGAAAGCCAAAGATGAACTTGATAAATCTAATAAGAAATTTGAGAATTATGAAACAGATATTGAACGGTTAAAAGAAATTAGAGATGAAGCACGCCGAGAAGCCAAAAAGAAACAAAAAGATGCCCAGCTTGCCATTAATTGCAATGAAGCTGAGCTACCCAAAGACGTCAAAAACAGATTCAAAAAGCTTCCTGATACTCTACCCGAAGTTGAAGAAGAAATGCGAAGACTTGCCCTAAGAATGTCCAGTATGGAAGAGCTTTGCGATGAATCTGTTCTCAATGATTACAATCAACAAACTGATCTTATTAAACGAAGAAAACGAGAAATTGATTTAGTTTCCGCCGATTTAAGGCTTATTGAAAGTGATGTTGCAGCTTTTAAAGGTCGCTGGATACCTGCTATCCAAGAACTAATTGGTCGCATCGACAAAAATTTTTCAAAATTTATGTCTCGACTGGAATACGCCGGTGACGTTTCCCTCTCTCATGGTGATGATCCTGTAAGTTCATCGCTTTAAATTTCTCTTTTTATTCCACTTTGATTTTACTAAATTTTTGCCTTTCTTTTGCAGGAGGACTTTTCTACTTATGGAATTTCAATCAAAGTTCGTTATCGTGACAATGAAACTCTTAAAGAATTATCAGCTTTCCATCAAAGTGGAGGTGAACGTAGTGTTGCCACTATGATTTATATGATCGCGTTGCAAGAATTGACTAAAGTTCCTTTCCGAATCGTAGATGAAATCAATCAGGTAAGCTATAGAAAACACTTTACTCTTTTTTTCTTTGCTAATTTATTTTTTTTTATTCTTCTCAGGGCATGGATGATACAAATGAAAGACGGGTTTTCGATCTCATTGTAGAGACAGCGAGTACCAATTCGTCTCAATACTTTTTATTTTCTCCTAAACTGTTACCAAAGCTAACCTACACCGATCGAATGCATATTCACGTCATTTTCAATGGACCCAAATTTTCTGTGGACTGGAATCGTTGTAAAGCTCAAATAGCTGCTTAATACTTCTATAGCAATGTATAATTTAGCAGCAAAATGTAGCTAATTTAGTCAATATTTCATTTTTTCTCATTCCAGTGAACCACTTAAAGACAAGTTAAACATTTATTTTTGTGTTCTGCTACTATTTTGTCTATCATAAGAGTTTAATAAAACAAAGTGTTGTATTTTGACCTATGATTTCTGCAGTCTTTCATTCTTCCATTCTTCGATTGATCAATTCAATCTAAATTGTACCATAAATCAGAGCTTATAAGCTATTTGTAATTAATGTGCTTTTTGAAATATCACAAAGACTCGAATTGTTCAACCTTCTCTCGTAAATCATCCAATCTATCGATTTCTTAAAAATGTTAATTTATCGCTCATCTTTGACCTAACATGCTAAATTCAGTAACTTCGCTAATCATTTACCATTCCATTGTATCATCTTTGGTATGAATAGGAAAATTCAATGAAATGTGAACATAAATTGGTTTCACAAAAGATATTTGAAGGATCCCGCTTCTCTATTTCTAACAACATGCATTTGTGGAGCAATGTGAAGAATGGAGTTTCTGGTTCGAAATTTGACAATGGTACTCTAAAACCAATCAAATTGAACCCTGGACATTTATAGATAATCTCTCATTAATTAGCCATGCGATGTTTAATAGCCGACGAGTTTGGCTGTCAAAATTGAATATCACGAATATATACTATGATTTAGCCTTACTTATTTCTTTAGATTTCTATAAAAGTCAATGCTTAAACCATGTTAATCATGGTTTTATATGGTATCCTTTATTAAGAATTGTTATGATTCAATTAAGAAAATATTTTAGCTTGATTATCACATCAGCTATAGTCTTATGGACATTCATTGAAATTGTTGTTTATTATTTTAAGGAAGTAATTTCGATGATCAAAATGGTCTTTGATTTTAATTGTAAAGGTTACTTAAAAGACTCCTTTGACTAAATTCATTGAATTATAGTTTAATTTAGAATTAGGAATCGTAAGTTTTTATTAAATATGAAAATGTCCAGGCTGCAAACATGATTAGAACAAACAGAAGCTGACGGAATTGAAGATAATTGTAATATCATAGATAGAATGGCCAAGATGGAAAAACAATATATTACATAAAATAAAGACATTTGATCATACAATTCAGTCTAGTAGCAAATTAAATACTCAAATTTAATTTTTCCTAAATTTGTAAACATTTGAGGAAAATTATCAGTTGTTGAAGTGTTTTGTTTATTATTATATTAATATCTGAACTTTTTGTTATGTCCTAAAGGAGGTGGTGGAGGTGGAAAAGGATGGTGGGGAACCCGACTATTAGGTGGATAGTCATTCCAAGGCCTTTTCATAGGTGACATTGTTTGAGTACCTAAAGGTGGAGGTATACTGCCCATGGGTGGACGTTTTGGGGGACCAGTTGAAGGGCCTAAAGGTAGATGTGGATGATGTTGTGAGTGATGATGAGGTTGATGATGTGGTTGGTGGTGAGGTTGATGATGAGGCTGATGGTGAGGTTGGTGATGAGACTGATGATGAGGTTGGTGGTGAGGTTGGTGATGAAGTTGATGGTGTGGTTGATGAGATTGATGATGAGAATGATATGAATGATGATGACTTGAAGATGAATTAGAAGGTCCATCCTCTGGAGGTCCATCACCATATTTGTTGCTACTATGATTTCTAGGTGATGAATGACGATGTTTATATCTATTACTGCTATTATGTCGATTATGATGAGCTGTTGTTGCTGGCGGATAATGATCACTGTCTCTAGAGCTAGAATCATCTGGTTTCTTAATGGTTGACTTATACAGTTTGTACAATTTTTTTGGAGGATATTCAGTAAATTTAGATACAAAAGTCCACAATCGGTTTCTCCATTCTCTAGATTTATCTATATCATCCTTATACTCATCCATACACTCTTTTATTCGAGCACCTATCTTAATTAAACACTGTTTCATATGATTCAACTGTTCTCCCGTCGATAAACCTTCCTCTCTATTGTCCAACATTTTTAAGGCCTTTTTCACTGGCCTCATCTTTTCTTTACACTGGGCAAATATATGAGGCTCTAGATCACCAGCAATGTCAATTATTTGAGGTTCAGCATTGGCTGTTATGTGCAATGGCTGTCCTGATATGTCATGTTTCCTTTTCTTCTTTTTCTTGTCTTTCTTATGATCCTTCTTTTTCTTTTTCTTTCCATCCTGAGGTCCATTAACACCATCAGTTTTATCAGAATCTTTATTGGACTTATTTCTGGCAGATTTATTATTATCCTTCCTTGACCCTTTAACTTTACCATCTTCTCCTGGTCCCCCACCCAATGAACCATGTTCACCATCATTTAACTTAGAATTTCTGGGAGGGGCTTTTTTCCTTGGTTTAGACACTTCTTCTTGTATTTTTTGGGCCATTAACAGTTTTTGTAAAACTTTTAACAGATAATCTACTCTGGTTTGTAATTGTTTGGCTTGTGGTTTAAGATCTCCGTCAGGCAATATCTGCAAGTCAAAGGAAAGAGTAGGTTAGATGAAGATCAGAAATTAATTTAATATTGACATTAATTTACCTTATCTGCTAAACTGAATGATGGGTCCATCTTAATTGCTTCCCAGCTCCCAACTCCATATTCATAGACTCCAGCTAATAATTTAGAATCGTCTTCAATCGACCAGGGAACATCCCAATCTCTGACATCCTTCACTTTGGCCTTCAAGACCCAACTATTGGTGGAAAAAGAGTAGGATAAAAAATTGAATTAAAACATTTTCGATTGAATATTCAAAGATATTTAGATATTAAAAATCCAAGAATAATATAATGAAAAGAGGAAAATGCAATAAAAATGCATCTTAGATTCGAAAAGTTAAGTTAATATAAATGTTATGATCATCACTATTAAGAGAAGCTGATCAATACCTCTTTTTGGCTTCAGATGTAGCAGTAATAATTTCTCGAGTGGTTCAAGCTCTTGTTGACAACCCAAAAGGTTTCTCGGAAAAATGGAAACACCACCGAGTTTGAAATTCGGACCTCGATTATGAGCTGGCTTTTTAGGTTGTGAGGTCCCTATAAAAAGAAAATTTACATTAGAAATCATTTCAATGAAAATAATGATTGATTACATCCCAATTTATATAAATCATGAATCATGAAATGATCAAAGAGCAAATATTGAAAAAACACACCATTTGTATCTTCGTTTTGAGCTTCTTTTGCTTGCTTAGCTTGATATTCTTTAATTGCGTTTTCACAACCTGTTTGAAGAAGCTCTGCCAGTCTTTTGAGATCAGCCATAGGCTTTTCTTGCAATTCAGCATCAATTGCAATAGAGTCTAATCTTTTCATGGGGACAGGAAATTTTTTATAACTCTTAATAAACCTTCGTATTTCAGATTCCGTAAAACCAGGTATTCCTTCTTTAGCATTGGCACGAGGTCTACCTCGACGACGCGATCTTGTCTCCCCTTCGGAATCATCACTACCCATTTCACCTTTTACTTTGGATATGGAGGGATCATATTCGTCACAACTATCAGATGCATGAGCTTGTTGATTGGCAGATTTTCGTGCTCTTGGAGGTAGAAAAAGTTCTATCATTTCTTTCTCTTTTTCTTCTTCATCAACTTTGGCTCTTTCCGTTTCGGGAATAATTTCATCCCAATCTTTATCTTTACCACCTTCTCCGTCTTTATCCAATGCCTCAGTTGACACCCTGGTAACTTCATCTTCATTAAAATTAAAACTGGCCACTTTGAAAGCACTAAGAAGCTCATCACTAGCAGAAGATGGTCCCTCTTCACGAGTTTCTGCTCGCTTTAAAATTTCGTCAATATCCACTTGAGGCTCTTCCTCTCCATCTTCACCTTCTTTAAACAATTCTTCGGCACCAAATTTCAAGATTTGTGCCAATTCTTCTTTATTAAAAGGGGTAGAATTCGAACTGGTATTTCCTTTATTAGAGAGAACCGTTCTTCCTGTTGTGTCCATGCGTTGAATAACTAAATGGTCAAGAATCATTTTTCTTTTAGCTCTTTCAATAATATCCTCTTCTACACTGTTCTTTGTCACTAGTCGGTAAATGTTGACTTGATTTTTTTGTCCGATTCTGTGAGCCCGAGCTTGAGCTTGAAGATCATTTTGGGGATTCCAGTCGGAATCAAATATAATTACAGTATCAGCGGTAGCCAAGTTAATACCTAAGCCACCGGCTCTCGTTGAAAGTAAAAAACAAAAGTCAGTTGAACCTTCAGCGTTGAAATGTTCCAAAGCTTGTTTTCTTAGTTCGCCTTTGATGGATCCATCTAAACGCTGGAATGGAAATCGTCTTAAAGTTAGGTAGTCCCCTAAAATGTCCAACATGCGAACCATTTGAGAGAAGATTAACACTCTATGTCCAGTTTCACGTAAACGACACAAAAGTTTATCTAACAGAACCAGTTTACCACTACCACGGATAATCCTAGTCAATGCATCTACACTGCTCGCTTCATCAGTTGGTCTGATAAGGGTTGAATGGTTACAGCACTTTTTCAGTTCCATCATGATGTTAGCAAATCCACTAAAACTTCCTTTTAAACCCTTAGCCAAAGCTTTATAATTTTTAGTCAATATCCATTTGTAATATTGTTTTTGTAGAGCTGTCATATCAACACGAAGAATTTGTTCAACTTTTGCAGGTAGAGATTTTTCAACATCTTTTTTGACACGACGAAGAAGAAAAGGTTCCAGTTGTTTATGTAATTTAGAGTATCCTTTTGTATCGCAATCTGCATGCTCTTTTTCAAATTCTTCCCATTCACAGAATTTAACAGGCATAATGAAATGCAGAAGAGCCCACAATTCACGTAATGAGTTCTGTAAAGGTGTACCAGTAATGAGAATCCTATGGTTGGTATCAAATTCCATTAAAGTTTTGTACAATAGAGAATCATCGTTTTTCAGACGATGAGCCTCATCAATACCTAAAACAGCCCAATTTACAGCTCGAAGGAAACTTTTGTCTTTCAATAGGATCTCGTAGGTTGTTAATAAAACATTATATTTTAAACGTCGATTACCAGGGTGACACCATTCATACTGACGGATTATATTACGACTACTGATATCACCAATATATACAACAACATTTAACTGTGGAGCCCATTGTTCAAATTCTTTTTGCCAAGACGCCATGGTTGATAAAGGGACAACGAGCAAAAAAGGTCCAAAAAGAGCATGTTGTTCATAAAGGTAAGCCAAAAAACAAATGGTTTGAATAGTTTTACCCAAACCCATTTCATCAGCTAATATCACTGAATTTTCTTTACACCAGGTTTGAGCTAACCAGTTTAAACCATCTAACTGATAATCACGAAGATTTAATTCAAGATCACCGCCAAGATAGTCGGGTTCTTTTTTGAGAGGAACGAACTTGGGTCTGGTTTTGAGTACTTTACAAAATTTGGTCGGTGTCCTCTGTGATTTTTGACGTATGTTATACTCTTCTATTTTCTTGGGAAACTTTTTCTGTATCAGTGAACCTTCTTCCCAGGTAACTTCAGCATAAGGTAAACCTTCAAATTTACAAAGATATTCTGGAAATGAGGAGTCCGTCTCACGAGACGGTTGATGGGCAATGATCCTTTCAACATTCATATGTATTAACGTTAGCTGATCAGCCATTTCTTCTTGACAGTCATAATATTCGATCTCTTCAGGAGAAGCAGAATTTTTGAGCATATTAATTTCATCTTCTCTTTTTAAGTAATTTTCGATCTTTTTAATTCCTTTAGCCTTGACAGCTATTAAACTTTCCTCACTTTCCCATGTGTTGTGAAGATGAGACCAGCCTTTCCATTTTATCAAAAATTGCACCTCTTGTTCACTTTCATCACATTCTGGATAATTTGGATCACCGTTAAACTCGATATTGTAAGGTTTTGTGGCTTCCCCTGTAGCACCCTTTTTTCCTTTACGATGAGCTAATACTTTTTCAATTGTTTCGCCAGCCTCTGCTTCAGCAGCCGCTGCTTCTGCAGCTTCATCCCATTGTACATCCACCAAATCATCTGAATCGGTACGATCACTTTCTTCTTTATAACTGACAACTTTCTTAGGTCGCCGGGTACCACGACGTTCTTCATCTTCATCATCATCTTCTTCTTCAGTTTCTTCACTGTCATCACTAGTTGTCTCACTACTTTTTACACGGCGTCTAGATCTTCCTTTAGATTGACGCGTTTTACGAGCTACAGAGGCAGCAGTGGAACGACGAGTAGATGTTCGAGTTGATCGACCACTGGTACGACGGACAGGCGATGGTTCACTGTTATTGTCCTCGGATGAGCTTGAAGACGAACTACTATCATCAGTTTCATCCCAATCTTCTGAACTGTAAGACCAGGTCAAGATGTAAATAAAGAAAAAAAGAAAAGTCAGAAATCAATTTTGGTAAAAAAAACAAAAACAAAAGTGATGGATAAATGAATGCTGTTGACAAAAAAACAATGCCAATAAGGATACAATTAAAGGTCAGACAAGGTGATAGTCTGATGGTGTGAGGACACATTAACAGTTGATCAACAATTTAAATCAAGTTCTTTCGATACCTTTAAACGGTACCTTAAATAAAAAGTGAAAGCAGAAAAAAAGAAAAAGAGCTTGTTGATGATACAAAGGCCTTGCTTCTTTTGCCTACTGAGACATCATCAAAGTTGTCTGTTTACGGGTGACCCTTTAAAAACACTCTAGTAGTCATACTCACTCTCCTCTATTGGAACGTCCACCTTGATGATCTTCACTTTCGTCTGATTCACATGAACTTCCCGGTTTCATGATAAAAAAGAACCAAATTTAAAACACCATCAATCGAGTTACAAATTAATTGTTGGTTCAAAAAAACATTGTGAAATAATTTTATAAAGCAGCAGTAAAATGAAGCATACATCCAATTACAAATTTGGGTCAATAGATGGTGTTGTTACCGGCATATTGGGTATTGGTTATAAAGATAGGATCAGAACTCACTTTTCTTGTACTCTCATATTTGAAGGGGAAACAGGCTTTTCAAGTTAAACTGCTTTTCCCTCTTTACATCATTTCAACGCTTTTTACTCTACAGCCATCTATCAGCTTACACACCCGTTTTGTCAAAATGTGAGGAGTTTAAATGTACCAAGTATTTAGTTGTAATTCATTACTTTAGATGGCTCTTTAAGTAAAACCGTTTAAACCTCAATTATTTAACTGTTTTTTAAACAATTGAATTAAATTTGAACACTTCAAGTTTTGAATGAAAAAATCAAAACAAAGCTAGTTAAACCTGGTCGCTTGTTTTAACACGAGTTTTCCTCATAGAGTATAACTCGATAATAGAGTATTTCATCTTTATGCTTTTGTTGTCCATTTTTCAATTCTGTGCAGCAATAATGAAATGTTAAATCAATTTAACTTGGAAATGTGCTTTGATTTTGGTTAAATATGGTCGTCATTTGATAAATTTTATACATTTATAAGATATTTATAAGATATAATTGTGAAATGTTATTTTGGGGATTCTCTTTTGCTGTTGAAATGTGTTTTGGATTGATATTTTTGTATTTGTATTTGTCTTCCACTTGTAATTATTGATCTTGAATTGCCGTATCAAAAAAGAAAATTGATAATTATCAGAATTTTTAGAAGCTTCCGTTTCTAACCTAAAATAAGCCATCAAAATGAGCAAATAAAATGTTGATTAAGCGTAAAATAAATAATGAGAGATAATACTGTGCAATCTATTTCTGGAAAGAGAAAAGTTTAATGAATTTTGTACCATCAATTTGAAAATACCCATTCAATATCAATAACTAATGCTGGATAATCTTGTTTGATTAAAATAGCAAACCCTTAAGTCGGTAGCTCAGTAGCCCAAATCTAAATGGCAAAGAAATAAATTAATCAACAACAATTAAACTAAAATCCCATTGAAACACAAAATCACTTATAGTCACAATCCAGACTAAAAGAGGGAGACAGTGAGATGTAAAGCAAGACTAAAAAGCCAAACGAGATGATCATGTTTCAACAAACGAAATCAATTAAACAAACTAAACGCAAAAGTCAACATTTAAACAAGCATGGCTAGCAAATAAAAGCAAGAAGTCACAATAAAAGAAACAAAGAAAAAACTGAAACCACAAACACTAAACACTAAACAACAACATAAAAAATCGAAGCAAAGCACAATAAAAAAGGTCGAAACCAACAAAGAAAAAGCCTTAAAAGCGTCTCTTTAAAAGTCCAAAAATTAAAACACGAAAAGCAAAAATCCAAATCACAATAAAAAACAAAAGCAAACTTAAACTAAACCAAATAAATTGCCATCAACAACTAAACCATCAAACAGTAATAAACAAAAAAAGCAAAAGAAAAGACAAGTTGCATACAAATGCAAGAGATGGCGTAAAGAGCGATTTAAACGCGAAATTTGAACGCCTTTTGCTCTGCCCATTTCAACGAAAGGTCCAACCTTTTGAAAACAAATGCAACTGGAAACATGAGCATTTATATATACTTATACAGGGTGTAAATGTCAAATACGCGGTTTTGAATCGCTAATAACTTTTTTGTTCTTTGTCCGATTTCGTAATTTTTTTCGATTATATGTAGTCAAATAGTGCGAGTTTTGTTCAAAATAGTTCGAAAATTTATTAGATTAAAGCAAGTGCGACAAATATCGCCTCAAAGTCAAAAAAGTTGATTTTTGCCCTAAATCACCTCAAAAATAGTCAAATTTTCGTAATTTCATAAATATTTTTTGCCTGAAAAATTCAACAAAAAATTATCTATCAAATGATGTCCACTTTGTGGTTGTATGCTTTTGTCTTCGAAAAATATCGGATCTTGAAGGTAGGCAAAACGTGCAATAAACAT